AGTAGTAATAGTAGCTGTAATAATGTTTTCGTATATGCACCATAGCTGGAGTGAGCGAACTAGCAGTCAAAGTGACACATTATCTGTGTCCACATCATCTTCGTGTCTTACGACACGAAGAATTATCCCTTTGTATTTCTGAGTGGTATGGAGAAGTGAGTTAGTGGAATATACACAGAAAAACCTTCAGTGAACGAGGCATCACATGGATAAGATCTGCTGATCTACTTCAGAAAAGATTTTCCCTAATATCTCCAGAAACACCTACCTCTTCGATTATCCCATCACACTTCTGCAGATAATGATCCTCTCTCTTTCTCCTTGATTCGCCGTTTACTCTCCCGGCCCAGGTCTTTTCCAGATGGTGACCCGGCCTTGGCTCCCTGTGTAGGGAGTGTCTTGAGACCTACGTCTCCCATGGAAGGAGGTACAAGTACCTGATGGTGATCCTTTGTGGTTACATTGGGTTTTATTCCACTGAAGCCTGTTCAGGTGGAAGACTTTATGTTAACGACACAAGTGGAACTAATGTGACATCTTATTGTGGCAACGTTTAGCTCTCCGGGAGCTTTGTCAAGCCGTTACAAACAATATGGACGAGGAGAGTATAAATAGGCTTCGAGTGAGGCGTAGTAGTTGCAGTACTAGTGGTAGTAGTACTAGTGATACATGTGGAACACTTCTTCGGGAGGCAGAAACGGGTCATTGCAAGATTAAGACCCTTGCCAGGATCCTGGTCTTGGCGATCATTATACATACATCAAAATGATATACAATACCAACAAACACATACACATGTGTCTTCACTAGATGAACTGTCCAGAAGAATGCTTGAGCAGCATATGCTGCAACAACGAAGAATCCATTCTTCGGGAGCCAAAGACGGGTCAGCGCAAGACACGTGTAACACCAACTACAGGTTCCTAGATGCTAGTGAGGGGCTCTTGATCCAAGGAATTGAGCCTGTGCTCCAATTCTTCTAATCGAGTCTGAATGCCTTCCATTCTTCCAGGGGCTTTATCTCCCCTACAGGTTTAGCACCTCCCCTTTTGACTGTAATAATAACAACGAATACAATGGCGGAAAGTAGTTCTGGTGAGGCAATGGATGTTCGACCACTCAATGGTTCCCTTTAAAGGTATTTTAGAGAGCAGTTTAATTTAAAACTACATCATTTTATGCCCATCTACACAATATGTATTTTGTAGTTTACACGCGTACTGAAGGTCGAATTTGCAATAGGTGACTGGAACAATAAATAACCCGGAGGGCCCGGGTTCGATTCCCGGCGGGTGGAAACATTTCGACACGTTTCCTTACACCTGTTGTCCTGTTCACCTAGCAGCAAATAGGTACCTGGGTGTTAGTCGACTGGTGTGGGTCGCATCCTGGGGGACAAGATTAAGGACCCCAATGGAAATAAGTTAGACAGTCCTCGATGACGCACTGACTTTCTTGGGTTATCCTGGGTGGCTAACCCTCCGGGGTTAAAAATCCGAACGAAATCTTATCTTATCTTATCTTATCACATAGGAGGGTGAAGTTTACCACGACGTTTCGGTCTGACTTGGACCATTATCTGGTCCAAGTCAGACCGAAACGTTGTCATAAGTTTCATTCTTCGTGTGTGAGTTATTTCTGTGTCCAAAATTATTTAAATTTCATGAATGGAATCCGTGTGAGGATATTCTTCCCAGGCAAAAAGAATTTAAAAAAAATTCTTACATATTTCTCCTGTCTACCTCCATCTTAAATGCCTTATTATTATTATTATTATTATTATTATTATTATTATTATTATTATTATTATTATTATCATTATGGGAAGCGCTACGTCCTTAGGGGTCATACAACACCTGCGGATTGAGAAACATTTACATTTGTTCTAGGGGAAGGGATCAAGAGCCCCTCCTGCAGCACCTCCTGGGGCCCCTTCTGCAGCACCTCCTGGGGCCCCTCCTGCAGCACCTCCTGCAGGACCTCCTGCAGCACCTTCTGGGGCCCCTCCTGCAGCACCTCCTGGGGCCCCTCTTGCAGCACTTCCTGGGGCCCCTCCTGCAGCACCTCCTGCAGGACCTCCTGTAGCACCTTCTGGGCCCCTCCTGCAGCACCTCCTGGGGCCCCTCCTGCAGCACCTCCTGCAGGACCTCCTGTAGCACCTTCTGGGGCCCCTCCTGCAGCACCTCCTGGGGCCCCTCCTGCAGCACCTCCTGCAGGACCTCCTGTAGCACCTTCTGGGGCCCCTCCTGCAGCACCTCCTGGGGCCCCTCCTGCAGCACCTCCTGGGGCCCCTCCTGCAGCACCTCCTGGGGCCCCTCCTGCAGCACCTCCTGCAGGACCTCCTGCAGCACCTCCTGGGGCCCCTCCTGCAGCACCTCCTGCAGCACCTCCTGCAGCACTCAGCTGAGATATAGAGATTTAATATAGCTGAGTTCAGTACCAGTGTATGTATGTTTGTATGTATGCATGTATGTATGTATGTATGTATGTATGTACTCACCTAGTTGTGGTTGCAGGGGTCGATTCATAGCTCCTGGCCCCGCATGTATGTATGAATGTGTCATTATATGGCAGACACTTGTGTCGTCTCGTACACAGCTCGGGTTATTCCCAAGAATTTCCTAGGAGCCGTATAATCCCTACGGGTTTAGTGTTTCACCATGAAACAGCAACAATACTACTACTACAACTACCACCACTACTACTATTACAACTACCACAACTACAACTACTACTACTACCACTACGACTACCACAACCACAACTACTACCACTACGACTACCACTACTACAACTACTACTACGACTACCACAACCACAACTACTACCACTACGACTACCACTACTACAACTACTACCACTACGACTACTACAACTACCACCACTACTACTATAACTACCACTACAATACCTCTACAACTACCACTACTACTAATAATAATAATTACAAAATATTATTGCATTAAAGTAATAGTAATAGTAGTAATAGTAATAGTAGTAATAGTAGTAGTAATAGTACTAATAGTAGTAGTAATAGTAGTAATAGTAGTAATAGTAGTAATAGTGGTAGTAATAGTGGTAGTAATAGTGGTAGTAATAGTAGTAATTTATAGAAAGTATAGTAAGTAATAGTAGTAATATTAGTAGTAATAATAGTAATAGTAGTAATAGTAGTAGAGTAATAGTAGTAATAGTAGTATAGTAATAGTAGTAGTATAGTAGTAATAGTAATAGTAATAGTAGTAATATTAGTGGGAGTAGTAGTAAATTAGTTATTTAGTATATGTAAGTAGTAGTAGTAATAGTAGTAGTAATAGAGTAGTAGTAAAGTGAAATAGTAATAGTATAATAGTAGTAAGTAGTAGTAGTATAGTAGTATATAGTGGGTAGTAGTAGTAATAGTAGATAGTAGTAGTAGTAATAGTAGTAATAGTAGTAATATAAGTAGTAGTATAGTAGTAGTAATGTAGTAGTAGTAGTAGTAGTAATAATAGTAGTAATATAGTAGTAGTAATAGTAGTAATATTAGTGAGTAGTAGTAATAGTAGTAGGTAGAATAGTAGTAATAGTAGCAGTAGTAATAGTAGTAGTTAATAGTAGTATATAGTAGGTAGTAATAGTAGTAATAGTAGTATAGTAATATGTAGTAATAGTAGTAGTGAAGTAGTAGTAATAGTAGTAATAGTAATAATAGTAATAGTAGTAGTAAATAGTAGTAGTAATAGTAGTAGTAATAGTGTAGTAAGTAATAGTAAAGAAGTAGTAATAGTAGTAGTAATAGTAATAGTATAGTAATAATAGTAATAGTAAAATAGTAGTAGTAATAGTTAATAGTAAATAGTAGTAGTAATAGTAGTAATAGTAGTATAATAGTAGTAGTAGTAATAGTAGTAATAGTAGTAATAGTAGAGCAGTAATAAGTAATAGTAGTAATATAGTGTAGTAGTAATAGTAGTAGTAGTAATAGTAGTAGTAATGTAGTAGTAATAGTAGTAGTAATATGTGTAGTAGATAATAGTATAGTAGTAATAGTAGTTAATAGTAGTAATAGTAGTAAGCTTAGTAGTGTAAAGTAGTAGTAATAGTTGTAGTAATAGTAGTAGTGATAGTAATAGTAGTAATAGTAGTAGTAATAGTAATAGTAGTAATAGTAGTAATAGTAGTAGTAGTAATAGTAGTAGTAATAGTAGTAATGGAGAATGAGAGTTAATTACTCTATTAAAGGAAGGGGAGGATGCAATTCCTTGGATCAAGATCCCTTCACCTGCTTCAAGACACCCTGGTGTAGAGAGCGTCCATACACCCGGCGGTCATTAAGGCCTCGTTCCCCTCTTAACAATGTGCAATATGATCTCTAAGGCATTTTAGGCTCTGATTACATCTGCTCTACACATGTGACAGCTGCAACCAAGGCTGTCTGGTAATGTGTGTGTACTCACCAAGTTGTGGTTGCAGGGGTCGAGTCATAGCTCCTGGCCCCTCCTCTTCACTGGTCGCTAGTAGGTCCACTCTATCCCTGTTCCAGGAGCTTCATCCTACCTCGTCTTAAAACTATGTATGGTTCCTGTCTCCACTGTGTGTGTAACTGTGTACTCACATATTTGTGGTTGCAGGGGTTCAAGTCACAGCTCCTGGCCCCTCCAATTTGTACTCACTGGCTTGTGTGTGCGTGTAGGGGCGCACCTTTCCCACCATGTTCCTAAGTTCCATTGTAGAAGTTAGGGTCTAAGACGCCTGATCTACGTCACTACGCCTTCAAGGGACCTGAGATCTCACCTGTACCCTCAGACCTCAGGTGTTAATTATACTCAGTAGCCGAATACCTACATAACTACTCCAGACTAACATCTACCACCCTCTTGTATCCACATCCATCCTATCTACTACTGCCTTTAGATGAAGTAGTGAATGAGAACGATGTGTGAGAAGGGCTGATAGATAAGTTAAGCAATGAAACTAGTGTTGGTAAGAGGTAGTTGGCAACCAGAGTAGCGTGGGTTAGTGTTGTGGTCGCAGCTAGAAGCTGCAGTGTGTCTCAGTCGACTCCAAACTTTGCTTATAAAGGTTCCCGTGCGCTGACTTGGCTAGTGTTGTGTCCTAGGTACTAATAGTGATTGTTAGCGAGCAGGTGTCTGGTCTAGGTGTCACTCCAGCGTAGTTAGAAGCTCCGGAGGTGCCTATTTACTGATCGCGTCAAGTAAGTAGTTACAAGGGTGTTGTTAGGTATAAGAGTGGTGAGTCTGGGAAAGTTATTTTGAATGTTGCTGAACGTTTTGAAGGGGAGAAACATCGTCTAAATGGACAAATGTGCAGCTGTAGTTAAAGTGGAACTTGTATGCCTTTAACGGGTTATAAACGAGTTTATAATAAGTTGCTTATTAGAAACACCTGTGTCAAGTTAAGGAACTTTGTTATCCTAGGTTAAATTCTATGTAATTTACTAAATAAAACCCACAACATTACGTACGTGGCGTTAATATAAAACTTAAATAGCCTCATCCACCATATGGTATTTAATAATTCAAACTTACTGAATTTTGTCCAGTGGAAATTAAGGACCTCAACGGAAATTAGTGATTTTATTATTTTCCTGTCCTAAACCTGTATAATTTATTTTATGGGCCTATATTATTTGTATTGTACTGATAGTCTAAATAAAAATTTAATCTCGTTTATAAATAATTTTTTTTGTTATAGAAGAACAAAAGAACTTCATCCCTGCGTAAGTAATATTGTTTTCAGATATACATTTATGTTAAATTTTTTTTAACAAGTCGGCCGTCTCCCACCGAGGCAGGGTGACCCAAAAAGAAAGAAAATCCCCAAAAAGAAAATACTTTCATCATCATTCAACACTTTCACCACACTCACACATAATCACTGTTTTTACAGAGGAGCTCAGAATACAACAGTTTAGAAGCATATACGTATAAAGATACACAACATATCCCTCCAAACTGTTAATATCCCGAACCCCTTCTTTAGAGTGCAGACATTGTACTTCCCATTTCCAGGACTCAAGTCCAGCTATATAAAATAATCGGTTTCCCTGAATCCCTCCACTAAATATTACCCTGCTCACACTCTAACAGCTCGTCAGGTTCCAAAAACCATTCGTCTCCATTCACTCCTATCTAACACGCTCACACATGCTTAAGAATTCGCAAATAGGCGAAACTATTTACAAACATTGTCTCTACGTCCACGGCAGGACTCGAACCTGTAAACCCCAGGGGTCTGGCTCCGTGGTAAAGTACTGTGAGCTCTGGTACAGACTTTGCAGGTTCGAGCCCTGCTGTGGATGTAGAGACAATGTTTAGCATATACATATTATTACTGTAACCACGAACAAGTGGTATTTGTAATAAAGTTGGTAGAATTACCGACAATATGTAAAGTAAAAGGACACAAGTGCAACTAATGTGACATTTATTGTGGCAACGTTTCGCTCTCCAGGAGCTTTATCAAGCTCCTGGAGAGCGAAACGTTGCCACAATAAATGTCACATTAGTTGCACTTGTGTCCTTTTACTTTACAAGTGTATTTGACCAGTAACAACACTGCGACTAGCCGAGGATTCGAACCTGTGTCGTTAAGGATCAATTGCCCCATATTATAAACAATAATTGCAAGGAGTATGGGTCAATAGGTCTGTTGCAGTGTTCTCCATATTTCTTATGGTCTTAGACAAATACAAGAGTAGGTGTGAGTTGGACCTGATTGGCTTCGGCCAGTAGCTTGGGCCTGTAAGTGACTTGGACCTGCCTGGCATGGACCAGTGGGCCTTCCGCAGTGCTCCTTCCATCTTATGTTGAGTGAATATGACTTTGACTGGCTTGGTCCAGTAGGTGACCTGGACCTGCCTAACACGAGCCAGTAGGTGACCTGGACCTGCCTAGCATGAGCCAGTAGGTGACCTGGATCTGCCTAGCACGAGCCAGTAGGTGACCTGGACCTGTCTAGCACGAGCCAGTAGGTGACCTGGACCTGCTTAGCACGAGCCGGTAGGTGACCTGGACCTGCCTAGCCCGAGCCGGTAGGTGACCTGGACCTGCCTAGCCCGAGCCGGTAGGTGACCTGGACCTGCCTAGCCCGAGCCGGTAGGTGACCTGGACTTGCCTAGCCCGAGCCGGTAGGTGACCTGGACCTGCCTAGCCCGAGCCAGTAGGCGACCTGGACCTGCCTAGCCCGAGCCGGTAGGCGACCTGGACCTGCCTAGCACGAGCCGGTAGGCGACCTGGACCTGCCTAGCCCGAGCCGGTAGGTGACTTGGACCTGCCTAGCCCGAGCCGGTAGGTGACCTGGACCTGCCTAGCCCGAGCCGGTAGGTGACCTGGACCTGCCTAGCCCGAGCCGGTAGGTGACCTGGACCTGCCTAGCCCGAGCCGGTAGGTGACATGCAGCCTAACCTTCGTGTAGTAGATAGTCTTTAATCCTTATTAAGCACCCGGTCTCGGTACTGATTGAGTAACATTTCGACGACACTTCTCTTATTTACATAATACTTTTAATAAGCTTCTCACGCGAGAATATTTCCGTGTGTAGAGAAATGAATAAGAATCGTACATCGGTTTATCTTTGGTATTAACACATGGAAAAATAAAACAAAAGCAGTGTAATGTGATCCTTTGTTTACAAGGTTATAACACATTCCGATCCTCTAGGCAGAGTATATAAACAAGGCTTGAAGGAAAAAATACTAAGATTTCTCCTGAGATTTTTTTTTGAATATTCTATTACCACCCCATATATATATAATATATATATATATATATATATATATATATATATATATATATATAATTACACGTATGTCCTTGAGTAGCGAGTACAACATCCAGTTCCGCTGGATGCGCTACTCTTAAGGATTATGTGGTCCAGTGGATTAAGGCGTCATGAGTTTTCGCCCACCATGAGGCACGCCAAAGCAGCATGGGTTCGAGTCCTTGGCTAGTCGCAGTGTTGTTACTGATCAATACCACTCGTTCGTGGGCACAATAATTATATATATATATACAAACACTGATCTCTGGCTGAAGGAGACTCGAACCTACGAACCTTGGAACAAGGTACGCATTGCTTTACCAATCTACCCACACTGGACCAATACCTTGGAGTCCAGCTTGCGCTAGACTTTTGATCCAAGGCAGCCAGCTTTCAGGGAGAAGGCTTACAGCTTTTCATCTCATCCCCTGCATGCATCAGCCTTGCTAGCGCAAGCTGGACTCCAAGGTATTGGTCCAGTGTGGGTACATTGGTAAAGCACTGCGTACCTTGTTCCAAGGTTCGTAGGTTCGAGTCTCCTTCAGCCAGAGATCAGTGTTTGTGTTTATTTCGCCTCAGTTCTGCAAATATTTCCAGGAAAGGCAGCTTGTCTTGTGGCTCCGCCATAAAATATAATGGAGGATTGCAGCAAGCTTACTGACTTATGCTAAGTAGCTCAAACTTATACCCACTCGTGTACCTGTCCAAAGTATTTTTTTCTTCCGCTCTTTCTCCCGTCCCTGCCATCTGTATAAATACTAGCTCCCTTACTTTCGTGTGTTAATGTGTGACTAGTTAATAGTCCATTAGACCGAAATGTTATCACTTTATATGTGCTGGCTATTCGTGTGTTAATGTTAATTTCCAATATTCCATGCACTTATGACTCCTATAGATTTAATCTTTCTCCGTAAATATGAAGGATATATACACATAGGTCTTATCTGAGTATATATACGCTGAGTTTAATTCATGTTTTAGGGATGAGTATTCTTGTTTGACGGTTAAAAAGTTACATGTGGCCTGTAGGACCCTAGTGTAGTCGATAGGTTTTAAACCTTATTAATCAACCAACCAACTCTGTGAACAGCCCATCTTAACAGAACATGAAGTGTGTTCTCAACTTCTATAGGATTTCTTCCTCCTTGCGAGAAAATCACCTTTGTACGTGTCTTGTTATAGGCAAGGTTGTAGTTTGTGGCCGCCTTGTGAGTGGTGCTGAGGAGGTATGTTATTACCCTTGTTCATGAGTGTCTAACACGGAGACTCCTAACTGTTACCTTTCTGTTGGTGCTGGTACCTGCTGGTTCCTGTTGGTGCTGGTTCCTGTTGGTGCTGGTTCCTGTTGGTGCTGGTACCTACTGGTTGGTGCTGGTACCTGTTGGTTGGTGCTGGATACCTGTTGGTTGGTGCAGGTACCTGCTGGTTGGTGCAGGTACCTGCTGGTTGGTGCAGGTACCTGCTGGTTGGTGCAGGTACCTGTGGTTGGTGCAGGTACCTGCTGGTTGGTGCTGGTACCTGTTGTTGGTGCAGGTACCTGCTGGTGCCTGTCGGTGCTGGTTACCTGCTGGTGCCTGTCGGTGCTGTTACCTGCTAGTGCCTGTCGGTGCTGTTACCTGCTAGTGCCTGTCGGTGCTGTTACCTGCTGGTGCCTGTCGGTGCTGTTACCTGCTGGTGCCTGTCGGTGCTGGTACCTGCTGGTGCCTGCTAGTAGTGCTGCCTACTGGTGCTAGTCGCTAATGGTGCTAGTCCCTGTTGGTGCTGTTGCCTGTGAGTGCTGATGCTTGCTGGTCCCTGCTGGTGGTGCTGCTGCCTGCTAGTGTCGCTCCTTGCTGGTGCTGCTTCCTGCTGAAGCTACACATCCCCCCCCCTGCTCTCTTACTCACTAACTCTCTCTCTCTCTCTCCCTTTTGCTCTCATTTGCCCACTATTGCTCTCTTTCCTTCACTCTTCTTATTATTGCTCTGTCACCCTCTTTTATTGCGTTTATTTCCTCTTATTTTCCCTTGTTCTATTTCTCTCTCTCTCTCTAGCTCTTTCACTTGCTTTCTCCCTAGCTTTCTTTACATTGAGATGAGATGGGACAAAAAAAATCGATCTCCCGACAACAGTGAAGAAAATATGCAATACGTATATATATATCGTGCCGAATAGGTAAAATTGGTCAATTAGCAAGAGCTCGTTTAAAATTAAGTCCTTTCTAAAATTTTCTCTTATACGTTTAAAGATATTTTCTTTTCATTTATGTTAATGTAAAAAAATAAAAATTTCGTACCAAAAGAACCTTAGAAAACTTGCCTAACCTTATTATAACAAGCGCAATTTAATTTAGCCTAATCCATCTAAATATATTTTAGATAAGTTTACAATTTAATAATAAACAAGAGCGTTGGTTGCTATTTAAGCTATATATATATATATATATATATATATATAT